CGGCCCCTCTCGGGGCTGAGCTCGTGGTCTGCCGTCTTTGGAAACCATTTGGCGTCCTCTGGGGCTCTCACATCTGGAGTTCTTCTTTCGCACTTCTGGCAAGAGCTGCTTGGTTCCGTGTTTTGCTGGGGAGTTTCTTTCTTTCTTTCTTTCTTTTTTTTTTTTTTTCCTTTCCCCCTCATCGACGTTCAGGAAGGCAGCGAATGTCCTTCTCCTTCCCGCTCGGGAGCTGCCCTGTGCAGCCCTCCTGGGGTACTTCCTCCTTCCTCCTTGCGCCCCTTGTGCCTTTCTCTTTTCTCTCTTATCCTTGAAGATTTGAGGGCCGTGGGCTCCTTGCTGGCTGTTTCCCCTGGGTTACTCTTGCTGAGACTTCCCCTGATTTCTCCAGAAGCTGTGGCCCACCACCCCTCTTCCCTCGGTGCTGCTGGTTCGGAAGAGTGATGTGGAGGTGCTCTCGCCTCCTTCCCTGCACTAAGTACAGCCTGGTGGGGTCTGGATGACCAGGCACTGAGTTCTTTGGGGACCTCCATACCACAGACATCTGCCCGCTGTTTAAGCTGGAGCTGTAATAAATGTGGGGTCCACCTCCATTTTTAGGTCTTGGGCAGGTTTCTTGGGTCCTTCATCAATCTGAGAAGCCAGGACCTTGCATGTCTTGCCTGTGCTTCCTGAATGTCTGCAGTGTCAGCTTTATGAGAAGCCTGTGAAGACAACTGCCAGAGAGTGCCCCCACTTTCTATGCCCTGCATGCCTTTGCCCAGACTCTCCCAGGGATGTGTCTGAATGTGACTTGCTTTCCTTGCACTAATCCATGTCACAGCAGCTCCATCACCTAAGGACAGGACTCCAAATGCTGCTCCTGCTCTTCATTCCTGGGCCTGGTCCCCTGGGCCTGCCCTGTGACCCCAGACCCTGCGGACAGTGCATATAGGGCCATCACTTGCCCAACCATGTGTTTGCTGTGACCTGTGGTCCCTGAAGATGGAGGTAGGGGTGTCACACAGGACCCGCTGCCACGTGCCCTTGCACTCTCCAAGGTGCTGTCCTGGCCCTTGACCAGGAGGGCAGGGACCCTGGTCCCAGGCCAATGGTTCCTCCACATGGGTCCACACTGGCTGTGGTTTGCGTTTTAGGAGCCCTCCAACGCTTTTAAGAAACAAACTTGTTTTGACCCAGCCTGGACTCCCTTATAGCAGTTTGAGGAGAATTGGAGTTTCAAACCTCTCCACCTCTCAGTCTTCTCCTCCTTCAGGGCCTCCTTGATGTGTTTTGCTCCATTTTGCCTTGGGGGTGGGGGGGGAGTGTACAACTGTTGCAGTCAGTTCTGTAGAAAAGGCAGGCCATCACCCAGGAAGGTGACTGGCTATTCATGAGCAATAGCAGCAGCTGTCATAATAGCCTGTCTGGGTGTGGGAGAGTGGTGAGTTGTGTTTCGCAGTCTTCAGTTCTCCAAATATCTCACACAACAGGGGTTCAGGATTGTATCATTCGTTAGTTGGGTGGAGTTTGGGTGGGCCCAAATCTTACTCAGTGTCTACCTGAGAGGTTGTGCACCAAAAGCACGTGCTTGGGGGCTGTATGCTCATCATCTGCAGAGGAACATTATTCCTTCCTCCTGCTTCATCTCATCTCTCTACATTGAAGCCCCTGTGCTGGATGTGGAAATATTGAGCCATATTTTCATGCTAGCTGGATGCTGCCCTGTCTCCACTCCTGAGCATATTAGCTGTGGGGAGAGGAGAGAACTATAGGGGCACCAAATCTGCCCCTAACTACAGACCCCAGGTGCTTTAATGACATTACTGTTCTGAGCAGTCTTTTTTAGAAAGGCTTTAGAGAAGCTGTGTTAATCCCAAACGACGCAATAAAGAGACAGACAGAAGATAGCCTGGGCAAGGCAAGTGTAGTGACTCTAGGATGTGGCTCAGAGACAGGAAGATAATGTGGCTTCAAGTCCTCCACCCCGCCTTTGGATGGGGTTCCCTGCCAGCCCAAGGCATAGCAGAGCTTTGAACGTAGATTTTCTGAACCTGAGATTTGACACCTTGAAAGACAGGAGCATGACTATTGGAAACAACTTTGGTGTTCCTTGATGTGCTTGACAATAATGGAGATGGAGAGTGTAAGCTCCTTCAGCAACTTCTAGCTATGTGGGAATTGAACCAAGCTGGAGAGTGTATGCAGAGCAAGACATGACTGTCTTCAGACAATAAGCTCCTTCAGAAACTTCTAGCTAGATGGGAATTAAACCAAGCAAAGCGCAACCTCGTGATGTGAGGGTGACCTCATGGAATGTGGTGGAAGAACTCCAGCTTCTGTCCTTCCTTATCAGTGCTGGCTGCCTAAGGTTTTGTAAGAATTAGACACAGCATATGGTGCCTGTGGATATGAGCATGTTAGAGTTTGTGAAACTCGGAAAGCGACCTTGCAAGGACTAGCTTGCACCACTCCCCTCCTGTTTAGACTGGACACATCTTACTTGATTCTTGTTCTGCAATGCTACTCCCATCTTTCCACTTCCCCAGCAGGTGAGTAGTTCTAGGAGAGGAAATATCATATTCTTATTTCACAATATGACTTATAAAATGTTCGTATGAAGAGGAAACAATTGTTAAATAATCCTCCTGCCGCCTGAATTGAATGTCAGGAGCTAGAAGGGTACAGAGACCTGTTCAAACAGTCATAAGCCATACTGACCCTAACACTATCTGTGATAGCTTCAGTGAGGATAAACAAGGCAAGAACAAGCCTTCTTCATCACCTCTTTGATAGGCCAGGGTAAATGGAAGCCAGGGGTCACCAGAATGGGATTTAGTCTTTTCTCATTATTTAGTATCAAACACACCAGTAAGAGGGTTGAAATATAAATGTTGGGAGACTTTGCACTTTCCTGCAAGGGAGGGGTCATCACTATGAGAGATCAGCTGCTAGTCAGGTGAAGGATGGAAGGGGTGGTAGGTTGTGTGGCCATATTAAAGTCAATGACTTGAGCTTTCTGCATGAGAATAGGAGACTTCAGCAGAGGAGGTTCATTGGACAGTGAGTCCAAGGGGTTTGGACCCTTTTTCTGCATTGCTTGTGCTGAGTGATGGTTGTGTGGCTGTCATGTTGGCTGGTGCTGATCCAAGCATCTGGTGAAAATGAAAGCTGAGGTTTGGCCATCTCCCTTTTTTCTTTCCCTTTTGCTGTAGACATTGTTCGCAGTGACATTGCCCTGGATAAGCAGAAAGGCTGTAAGATCGCCCAGCATCCTGACATAATGTTGGAGCTACAGAGGGAAAAGGCAGCTCAGATGCACTTGGTTTTGTTAAAGGAGCAGTTTTCAAACACATACAGCAACCTCACATTAACAGGTAAGGCTGCAAGACCAGCTCTGGAGCCAGGAGCTGGGGCTAGTTCTTGCTAACTCACAGGTGTGTTAAAACCCTCGGGTGCTTCACGTCTGTATCAATCAGCATCTCTCTGGCTGCCTCTGTTTCCTACCAAGATTACTGGGTGCTGGGAGGGAAAGGACCTGCAGGATCTTGTGGTGGACTCAAAAGGCCTCTACAGTTGGCACCTATGCAGACACTCCAGATTTGGTGCCCCTGGACAGAACGTTTTCTGTGGTCTGACCTAAGCAGAATACCATGGCACGTGAAGTGCTGGAGAAATCTCTCTGCTAACTGTTCACGTCGATGGGCCTGCAGCAATTACTAAATTTGGAGTCCTTTAAGCTGCAGCTGATTTTTTTTTCTTTCCAGAGCATGCACTTTGTGTGAACCCAGTAAATATTAAAGAGCAAATATAAAGGGATAATGGCCCAGACAGAGATGAGAGGATACTCTTTTTCTGGCAACTGTTTGTATTATCCAGGGAACAGAATCTCAAAGGATGGAGGAGACTGCCACATTTTGGATACATTTAATGGTGCTTGTAAAGGACTGATGCCTTCAGGCAGTGAGTGGGCAGAAGGATGGGATCCCAGCAGTCAGCAGTGTCCTTTCATAGCTGTTCTCCTTATCACTACAGCTGGATGAGCCGCAGACGATGGGAAGGAGGAAGAGACTAATAAATCAAACAAGATCCCCTTCTCTTCTTGCTGTCCCTTTCCTGTGAAAGGCAGGGAGGCATCTGATTTTTATGGGAGAGAGGGCCCTGTGCTCTGTCTGGGGAGGAGATGGCAAGGCCTGTGGTGGCCCGCCCCTGCTGCTGGGCTGGGAGAGGCGTGAGGGTCCTGTGCAGCCTCCACCCCCTCTGCTGCCATCCGTTACTCAATGTCCAGCCCCTGCCTTGAAACCAGGACGGGTCTGCATCCTCCCTAGTGCAGCAGTGAGCTCTGGCTCTCCTGGGGACATCAGCTGTGCTGGACCTCTCGGGGATCCCCCAGAGGCAGAATGGCGATACCAGGGCTGGGAGAGGGCTCAGCCCAGGAGCCTGGTGGGCACAGGGGCCGTGAGTGTGGCTGAATTGCATCATTCCTGAAAGCCCAGCATTTAAATGGGATCCTCGGAGCCGTTTCTCATTCTCTGTAACGTAATCCACTTGGCTGTTTATTCCCAGTACAACTGCTGGAATCAACATTGTCAGCTTTTCCCCTGACAACTTGCTTACTTTCCACTAAACAAACTTCCCTTGAGAAGAGAAGCTGCTCTCCCCTATCCTCCTTCCCTCACTGCTTCAAAAGCTCTCTGGCATTGCTCACATTTTTTACAGAACCTGCAGAGCAGAGGTGCTACCTGGTTATCAGCTCAGCTCTTAGCCTTTCCAAGTGTGTTTACAGGATAGTTCAGAAGGTTTTAGCTCTAACTCTCCAGGGGGGAGAGAGCAATTTCACTGGAATATTACCCAAAGAACTATTTTAATGTTCTTTAACTCCCTTTGAATGTGAGTAGAGCAACTTCATAATTGTTATGAAGTTTAATCTTTTATTTCGTAGACATAGTCTGAGAACATGGACTCTAGACAGCTAAGCATAATATTTAACTGGAACTCTACTAACTTGTGTAAATATTTCCCTTCTCCATGATGGATCTGGTGTTTGGGGTGGGCAGAGGGGGTTGTACATCTGTTGCAGAAGGGCATTCCTTACCTTCAAAATTCAATCAGCCAGAGTTTGCTTGAGGACTTCTTTTTGTTCTGCACAGTGGTTTTGTACAGTGCTGTAAGGAGTCCCCAGGTCGTGAGACGAGGTGCAGGAGCCAGGATCCAGACCTGGCTTAGGGAGGGACAGTGAAGGACTGAGTTTTCGGAGATGGAGTATCCGGAGGATCCCTGAGAACAGAGTTTCCTCCTGGAGGTCTGTATCCAGGAGTCACTTTGCCTCATGCAGTGCATGTACTGTGGATGACCCTCAGTACCCAGTGTTCAACCTAGACTGGGGGAATATTCAACCCCACGTCTCTGTGTAAGAGGGGCTCCTACTACTGCTAGTTCCTGCAGCACTTTAACTGTATCAAAGAAATGTAAATGGAGTATCTTGCCTGAAGTCATGTGAGAATAAAGGTGCTTTGTGATGGGATAGCTGCTCTAGGAGAGCTTGGGAGTAGAATACCACGGCGAGGCATCTTTATTCCTGTACTACTACCACTACCTGTGGTAGTGATTTGGACAAAAAATCCCGTTCTTCTCCTCCTCTCAGATGACAGTTATATGAAAACCTGAAAGACTATAGATCAGGCCTCCCACTCTGCCTGCAAGTGTAGGCAAGTGATATTGCCATCAAACTTCCATGCAGTATCCTCGTGGCTTTAAGAATGAAAGCTCTTAGAGTTCAGGGAGTGTGATTCTGCAGTCCCTGTGGCACCAGTGTAAATCGGGAGCTTTTTCAAATCTATTTGCCAGTTGCACATGGTTCCCAGCGTGCTCCTTATCTCAGCGATCAGGCAGGGTTGTGGTTTTGCACTGGGATTTAAGCTGCCCCCAGCAGCAGGTACCTCCAAGGTAACAGGGTGTCTTAAAATGAAATGTGTTTTTTCTGTGCTAAGAGACAACTGAGACTGAGTGAAACCAGGCAGTCTTTCTGGCTCTTGTTCCTCCAGGAACACATGTTAGACTTTGGCTTAGGCCACTTTGGTTTTCCTAGGCAAGTACAAGTTTGCCTCGGCTCCTGTCTGCAGGCTTTCTCTTGCATCTGGCATTTGCTTTCTGTGCGTGATCTTTCTAGGCTTACCAAGCCTGCCCCACTGAGATGAGTGATAGTCTTTGATCTGTGACAGTACTATTTAAATGCTGTATAACGTTTTGAGGCTTACTAATCTTTGCTGCTTCACCCTTTGTGCTCAGATATAGGTATCTTGTTTCACAGATCAGCATCTCTGATGCTCTCGGGTGAGCCTGTGATAGAGCAGAGGGAGAGTGCACAGCATCGCCTGCGCTCCTCTGGGAACCAGCTCTCTCAGCTCAGCTCGTGGTGGGGTAGGGGGGAGGAGGAGGAATCTTTCCCTAGAAACCCTTCTCTGCTCCTTGCCAGTCGAGTTATGTGGGACAAGTGGTGATTCTTTTATGGATTGTATCAGCTGGAGTAGAAGTTGCAGCAGGATCCCCTCCTTTGCAGCCCTCAGGGGAAGTGTCCAGGTGACAGTAAGATGATTTTTGGAGCTCTGGAGCCAAGGAGTGAATGCACAGCACTGGGCTGGCAGCAGGTGAGGTGTGAGGAACTGCCCGGGGCAGGGAGTGAGCTTGTGGGGAGTGGGGCAGCAGCAGGCAGAGCTTTGGTAGATTAAATCTGAATCCCTCCATCTGTGGTGCCAGTTTGGGCTGGGTTAACATACTGCATTTGTACTTTAAAGAGACTGGGATATTCACAGGTTTCTCTACTGTTATTAAGTAAAGCCTGTTAAGCCTGATGGAAGAGGGAGTTGCTCAGGTCAATAGACATACATGAAAAACTGTCCCCTCCTGCATATGCATGAAGTGTTAAGTGTAACTGAACTTCCCAAGATACAAGTAGGGACCATAAATTTCCCTCTAGGAGTTTCCATCCTGAGGAAACAAAATAGTGCCCTGCTTCCATTCTGAATGGTGGAGAAATGTCTGTTCTTTCTGCTCTACCTTCAGCCTGGAGGTACAATGCAGATTACTTCACTGCATCAAGAGACTACTGAGGATAGCTTGTCCTACCACTGCCACACCACATCTGCACTGAAAAGCCAGTAAGGAGACTGCAGGATGTGTGGTGAGAGCCCTCCATCCTGTCACATCATACAACACAGCCTCTAAAAGCAGCAATTAAGGGAGGAGACCTTCCTCACAGGGTGCATAATGCTCCTGGTTCACTATCTGTGATCCTAGCCTGCTGAGGATGTTAGCAGAGGGTCTCTTCCAGCTGTACTGAGAGAGACTTGGGGGGATTAAAATCAGGTGGGAGCTGCTAAGAGCAGAGCTGAGAGCTGCTGAAGAGTGCATTTCACTGTGTCCAATGTTGCAATCAGGTGCTTTACACTGGCATCCTATTACTGTTGTTGAGGTAGTTAGGTAACTTAAACTCTGCCACAACAGCACTTGTGAGCTCTGTGTGAGGCTTTCCCTGGAGAAGCCTACTTCTGGAGATGATAGCAGCCAGGCAGAGACCCTCTTCATCCAGAGTAAGTGGTATGGATGTGTGAGGTTGTGGTGATGATGGAGGGTGCACACCAGCTTTTCCCAAGTGGGGATGCATAATGGTGGTATGAGTGGAGCAAAACAGAACATGAGGGAGCAGAGCAACCGTGTGTGGGGTGGCACAGAGCAGGGATGAGGGCAGTGTGTTTGCATGAAGAGCTTGCAAGTGAGAAGCTGCCCCCCAGAAATGTTTTTTCTCCTCTCCCCTGAAGACAGCTAGAGCCACAGTTGTGCTTATTGCTTGGCAGGGAATCAAACAGCTCAGGTCGAGCACCTGTGACATTTGTGTTTCCTGCACTTGTGAACCTCCCCTGGTGGTTTTGTGATTCCGGCTGAATGCTGCAGTTCTGGGAGATGGTGGTCCTGGAGCAGGACCTGGGACCTGTGCCATGGGGTGCTGGGTCTGGAGGGGACCATGGCTCAGGGGCTGCCCTCTTGAGGGGGTCTGTGCAGAGAGCAGGGCATGGGGCTAGGTGTGCTTTTGGTGCCTGTGCTGCCAGGCAGAAAGGCTGCGCTGCTGGTTTTTCCTGGAGTTTTCCTCAGATACATGGTTTTATCCCCAGTTACAGCTAACTCCATGGGGCTGTGGGGGGGGGGCACCTTGTGAGATGGGACCTGGGAGGGTTGTTGCAGAGGTAAGTGCAGCTTCCTTGCCTTTTTATGGCAGCTTGTTTGGGATCAGCAGCCTAAAAGTCCTGTGGTCTGCAAGACACTGATACACATCATAGCTGTTTTACTGGGGTGGTCCGCAATGTACTTGCTCTCCAGCTTT